CTCTTCTTTCACACTATCATTTCCTTTCTGTCTATCTACTTCAAAACATCCAAATGAGGAGGTTAGTTTATCTTATCACTATTGGTTTCAGTCAATTCTCACAGTACCCCCTGTCTTCATTAGGGTTTCAATTGCTGTGATGAGACACCATGACCAAAAATCAAATTGGAGAGGAAAGGGTTTGTTTAACTAACACTTCTACAAAGTAGTCCATCATCAAAGGAAGTCAGGACAGGAGCTCAAACAGGGCAAGAACGAACCTGGAGGCTGGAACTGATGCAGAGGCCATGGAGGAGTGCTGCTTACTGGCTTGCTCCCATAGCTGGCTCAGCCTGCTTTCTTATAGAACCCAGGACCACCAGCCCAGTGGTGATCCAGCCAGAATGGGCTGGGCCCTCCCCCACCAATCACTAATAAAGAACCCCCCCCCACGGGCTGCCCTACACCTCCCCTTTATGGAGGCATTTTCTCAATTAATGTATCCTCTACTCAATGACTCTCACTTAGATCAAGTTGACATAGCCAGTGCACCCCCACCTAAGCAAAAGATTATTCCTGCTCCATAATGGATAAGGATTTAACACTCAGAATGTGTAGATAGCTTGATCAGTGTTACACAGCCAGACTGGGCTGAGCCACTCTGTGAAGGAGGGCAGAATGCCTGTGCAACTTCCCTGACCAAGAAGTCTCTAATTTCCTCAAAGGTACAATCAGTGGCACACTTCCATGCAAGGGAAAATAATTAAAAACTAATTTTTGCTATTAATGTATATACCATCATCTCAGACTGCTCCAGGTAAACTGTATAGCTTAAACATCAAAGCCCTTGTGAATATGTTGAACCTCTGTCCTCATTTCACAAGATAAGTTTGAACAATCCAGAGATGTCTGCTCATCCCAGCCAAATAAGTGACATGTCTGAATGCATGCCTACCCCAAAGGTCAGGAGCCTAGCTCACACTGCATTCCCTACAGACCCAATCATTCACTGCATTCCCTATAGACCCAATCACTGCACTGCATTCCCTACAGACCCAGTCACTGCACTGCATTCCCTATAGACCCAATCACTGCACTGAATCCCCTACAGACCCAGACCCAATCACCGCACTGCATTCCCTGTAGACTCACTCACTGCACTGCATTCCCTACAGACCCAATCACTGCACTGCATCCCCTGTAGACTCACTCACTGCACTGCATCCCCTGTAGACTCACTCACTGCACTGCATCCCCTGTAGACTCACTCACTGCACTGCATCCCCTGTAGACTCACTCACTGCACTGCATCCCCTGTAGACTCACTCACTGCACTGCATCCCCTGTAGACTCACTCACTGCACTACATTCCCTACAGACCCAATCACTGCACTGCATCCCCTGTAGACTCACTCACTGCACTACATTCCCTACAGACCCAATCACTGCACTGCATTCCCTATATACTCAATCACTGCACTGCATCCCCTGTAGACTCACTCACTGTACTGCATTCCTTACAGACCCACTGACTGCACTGAATTCCCTATAGACCTAGTCACTGCACTGCATTCCCTATAGACCCACCATTGCACTGTACTGCATACTGTACAGATCCACACACTGCACTGCATTGTACACCCTACAAAGCAAACACTACACTGCATACCCTACAGACCAAACACTACATTGCACTACATACTCTACAGACCCAATCACTGCACTGAATTCCCTACAGACCCAATCACTGCACTGCATACCCTGTAGACTCACTCACTGCACTGCATCCCCTGTAGACTCACTCACTGCACTACATACCCTACAGACCCACTCATTACACTGTACTGCATACCTTACACACACACATACACCATGCGCGTGCACACACACACACACACACACACACACACACACACACACACACACACACACATACACACACCACTGTACTGCACACTCTACACATATACATACTGCACTGATGCCTGGATAATGCTGGCCCATTCCTACTCCAGTTCATTTGTTTGTATACTGAGAACAAACAGAACCTACAAAAATGATTTGAAAGTGTGTGTGTGTGTGTGTGTGTGTGTGTGTGTGTGTGTGTGTGTGTGTACAGCATTAATCCCAATGGTGAGCATAGACTGACTCATTAAATACACATCTATACACCTCTTCCACCCAAGCATGCACAGACATGCACCTTACCTTATATGAGCAGAGACCCACACAATGTGCCCCGTGGTTTCTTAGACATCTGCTACAGAAGTGTGGCCACCTCCTCCTCCACCTCCTCCTCCTCCACCTCCTCCTTCACCTCCTCCTCCACCTCTACAGTTGCAACCTGCCACTGTGAGCAGACAAACATCCTCCACATGTCCACAGAGCAGTGAATTTAGATCTGATCCTCTGGCTTCTGGGCCAAGGCATGGGGAAAGTGTGTCCTCATGGGAATTCCAGTGCTAAAATATCACTTCTCATGACACATAATGTGCTTGGAGTGAAAAGGCCATCATATGGCTCAAAGGCATCTAAACATAAAAACCTGAGATCAGCCGATAAGTAGTGGTGTCCTGCCACAGATAACAGCAACACACAGTGCTTCTGAGCAAAGTGGGGATGGCTACCTAGTCTTAAGGCCAACCCATGCTCCAGAACCTCACCTGGAATGAGAAGGGTCAGGAGTGACCTCTCTTCCTGTGTTGCATAGATGCAACAAAACATAAGTGGTGCCTGGTGATGGGGTTGTCCTTCTGTATATGTTTATCTTATTGGTTGATGAATAAAACACTGTTGGCCAATAGGGCAGCAAGATAAGTGGGTCTAGGAGATATGGAGGATTCAAAGAGGAGCCATCATGTAATCCTGGGAAGAGAAGATTGAGTCAGGCATTCTCCAGTAAGATAAGACCACATGGAAATACATAGATTAATAGAAATTGGTTCATAATTAAGACGGAGCTAGCTGAATAAGAAGTCCTAGTCACTGGCCAACAGTTTCATAAATAATATAGTGTCTGTGTATTCATTTGGGGCAAGGCCATTGCAGAACTGGGTGGGAAATCCCATAACAGCCTGGGGCAGACACTTGGTGGCTTGCGGCACAGGCTTCTTGGCAGAAATACCTAAGTGGATTCCCAGGCTACTGTCCTAACTATCTCAGCAGTGAGTTCTCTCAGCAGAACAGTATTGCCAAGCATATCCCCTGGGAGCAGAGCAGCACCCACCCCTCGGAAGGCAGTTGGCATGGCCACCAATGCCCTCAGTTCTCTCAACTGCACCACTAGCACTGGGGTGTTAGCTCTGGAAAACATGGGTGAGGGAAGAAATATATAACACAAATGTCTCATGTGCACTTTCATTCTCAGAAGAACCCCAATGTCTGTGTTACCAGTTCTGTTCCACTGTTGCTCATTGATCCCTGGCCCCAAAACCAGCAAAGAAACCCTGACTCCCCTAAACTGGTTCTTGCAAACCCAGTGACCATGCTACTTTATGGGGCTGGAAAGACTGCTTTAGATACCCAGAGCAAAAAGGAAAAGGCAGCCCAAAGTTCCCAAAAGTCTCATAGACATGGAAGGTTCCAAAATTCCCCATGTCCATAGAACAAGTTCAGCCTAGCACTGGGAGAATCACACAGTCAAGACTGGTATCACCATTATCAATCTTCAGCCCCAGAATTTCCTCCATGTCTGGCAACCACATACTTGGGGAACAAGACGGCTGTTATAACATGGACTCCTTCATCGCACTCAGAGTTCACACTGTGGGGTTCCAGACAACTAACATCCACAGCCAATAGTCTCAGCTTCCAGAATGGTGGCATTTGGCCGTGGGCTAAAGGTGTTGCAGCCTGCAGATCCTGCAGAATTTGTGAGAAGCAGAAGTGAGGATTCATTGGGCCATTCTCTCATATAAGCCACCAGATTCCAGGGACCCTCCTCACTCCTAGTCATGTCATGGACACACAAGACTCAGTCCTGATGGCAGTGACTCTAATGTGCCTGGGGCCATGGGGTGGGGGAAAACCCTGTCAGGAAACTTATTTGTGCATAGATAATCAAACAGAAAAACAAAATGTACAAATGAGCAGTTGAGCAATGTTCCACGTTAAGGCTGGCTTTCTCGTCACTATGAGAAAATCCTTCCCTGTGTCTTGAATTAAACATGCATTAAGTGTCCTTCCATACTGACCAGCTAAGGTCACATCCCACCCCTTACCACTGTGGTTCTGAGTTTTTCAAAGTCTTGCTTACTGATGTCTAATGCCTAACCTCTTCCTCTATAATTACGGGTGCAAGTCCACCAGCTCAACTTGATCAAGCCAGGGGCTTCACTGCCCATCATGTCCACAGAGAATGTGGTCCTCATATCACCTTACCGATGGCTGTCAGACCCACTACTGCAGCCAAAGACACCCACTCTGTTTCTGACCCCACCAATTTTTCTTCTACCTCTGTGGCGCTCTCTCATGTCTCCATCTGTTTAACACCTCTGCCATGTCCATAAACCTTCCCATCAGCTGGGTATGGAAGAAATATCTCAGGCTGCATGTAGTACTGTGGTCACCCCTTCTCTGTACCAGACAAGGGCTTGTTTTGAGGTGTGCTTTATGATCTTTGCTCCTTCCTCTGCTTGGGATCAGTAGGGCAAGTGGAGCCCTACTGTAATCACGGGCAGTCCCTTGTGTCTCAGCTTTCTCTGAATTCTTTTGTGATTCTTATTGGAGTCACTGAAAGATTCTGTTCCTGTCTGACAAGAAGAACCAACAGCCGGGGCCATGTGCACACCAGAGCCTTCAATGGAAGGAGGACCCGTGTCAAAGCTTTGAACCTTGAACTTGCGCACATACTAGGAAAACTTCCAGTCAAGGGACACCATTTCTTTCAGTTTCAAGAAACAAAATGTCCGTTCTCCCTAGGTGAAATGCCCGACCCTCTTCCAGAAGGAATCCCACTAATTCCTTTTAAAAAAGGGAGAGAGATTCACTTATAGAAACCTTTTTATAATTTATTTGCTGTTGTTAATCTTCAGTATAAAAATGAAGCTCTAGCTAAACGTAGGGTTTCAGTGGTGAAGGTTTGACCCAATGAACAAATAAATAAATATTTACAATCTTTGGCAAGAACAATGTTTCATTAACGTATATGAGAAGCTCTTGTTTTTTTAAAAAACTACATAAATAATTTACAAAAAAAATATGGTACATTGAACGTATTCACATCGTCCCCACCGCCTTGTACCATTCAGCCAAATGCCCCAAGTGAAAGCCTAAATGTTCTTCACAGCCTCACAGTCTGAAGTCTCATGTGGGCCTTGGGAATACAGTCCCACAGAAAGTAAAAAGTGCAGGGTAACAAAACACAAGGAAACTCACCCTCAAAGACACTAACACAAATAACTGCACTGAGACAAATTGGGGAAATTCAAAGTCATGGATTCTTTCAATCTGACTTAGAAATGTAACTACCATTACCAGAAAAGGGATCCTGCTCCACTCCCTTCACAGGGACAAGATCTACTCTGACTGAACTCATATGAAGTGAAAGAGACAGTATTTCCTGCTGCTGGGAGATCAGGCAGCTCAAAGCAATAAAATAAAATAAAATAAAATAAAATAAAATAAACCAAGCATATGTCTGTTATGGTGTGACTGATTAATGGGTGTGTCTGGGGGGGAGGTGTTTTCTTCAACATTAAAATATAAAAAACCTATACACAGCACATAGATAACAGTAAAAAGAACTTAATTAAAATCATTGGCAACTGTGCGTATTAAGGTCCCATTTTGTCATGGCTTAGAGCCTTGTATTTCAACCAACAGCTATTTTGATAAGTGTATCTTTATATCATTATATCCTTGTCATATGCTTATTTCTAGAAATTATTCTACATATTTGTTATTTTGTATGGTAAAAATAAGTTATTGCTGAGTGGGGCTACATTGCAAATTCATTTAATAAATATTAACAAAACAGTTGCACTTGGAAACTTAATGAAATAAGTTTCCAAATTAGGCAAGAGCAACTTCTGCGTTATTCAGAAGCCTAGACTAGGAGTAGGGTACCAAAGTGCATTTGCCAACTTATCTCCCAGTCTGTTTCCTAGTAACAGGAGCAAGAAAGGATGCCCAGATGGAGATCCTAGCAGTCATTATACAGAGCCCTTTCACTTCCAGCCTAGGCTCTCCACAAGGCTGGCCCCGGCATCCATCTTAATAGGAGGTGCTTGCCTCCACTGAGCTTTTGTTCTGAAAGCTCTGAAAAGTCCACATCTGGAGACCTGAAAGATCCACTTTTGCAATGGCACACTGCCTTTGTCTATGTCAAGTCAGCCTTACTCCAAGAGGAGTAAGAAGTGCTTTTCATCTAATTTTGCAATCATTTTCTATGTTCCGGATTAGTCAGGGTTTAATATCACTGGACAAGGGGCCACAGTCATGTGACTATCTTCTGGCCTCTTCCTTACTGCAGCCAAGTTCACCTGATCTTTCTTTAAAATTGACCTTACAGGATTTGTGTGTCATTGTAGAACAGCACGAATCCAAGAATAGTGACAACATTAAGCATTGAAAGTAGGTGAGCAATATTTTTCATGCTTAATTTATGAGAATGACTTATACACAATATTCCCTTCAACTCCATATACACATAAATACTGCAAGTAATTACATTTTACATGTAAACGTCATTCTTTTTAAACAAACAAGGAAAGGCAATGCAGCAACATGCTCGGTTTTCACTCCACAGTGAGTCTCATAGTTCCTTTAACTTTTCCCAGAAGCAGGCTAGATGCCTATCTTGCAGCTCCCTTGATTATTTGTCATTTGAAGGCACTTGGACTTGGTGCTGATGAAGGAGGTGAAGATCCACTCAGTTAAGGTCAAGAAACAGGAAATGCCAAAAGAGAAAGAAGCTGCAAGTATCAAGACGGACCGACTTTTCTAGGAAACAGTGTCTGTAGCACATGGATGGAACTGTAGCCTTGCTCTCTAGACATCTAGAAGAAGAGAAGGGACAATGCGATTAGGATGGAACAACCAAGGGTTATTTTATTATGTTTCTTTGTTTGCTCATCTCATACTGAAGCCCAGGCTGACTTGCTATATAGCTCAGACTGACCTCAAATGAAGCAATCCTCCTGTCTAGGGCTCCAAAATCCTAATATTACATGTATCTGTTTTACCTATAACCCCAATTATCATCATATTAATTTTAAGATGTATCACATAAAATAGATGGATAGAGCAGACTGACAGATGACTGATAGATGTTTGGATGATGAGTAGATGAGAGATGAGTGGATGGACAGAATGATAGAAGGATGGATGAGTGTTTGGATGGACAAATAGACAAACAGGATTTGGGAAAAATGGGTGCATAGATGGATAGATTAATGAGTGGACACATTGAAAAAAAAAAAGAAATCTCTTCAATGGAGTCCTATCATCAGAAAAAGACCTTCAGTGGAAGGAGAGAAAATAATGTTCTTATCTTTGCTTCTCTTTGATCTGTGTATCATTCTCAAGGTATGAGCATTGACAAACATTTCTGAGTGTTACTGATCTCCTCTGAAGAAGGCATGTCATTAGACTACACGGGAGTCAAGTTTGCTTTTGGGTTTGTACTTTGGTTCAGAGTACTTCTCTGAACCAAACTTCTAGCAGTAAAACAAAGAAGTAGACTCCTTTCTTCTCTCACTTCTTCCTTCTACCACTCTTTCCCTCCTCCCTTCTCCTTTTCCTTCTTCCTTTCCTTCCTTCTTTCAATTTTTAGTGAAGATAGTAATCTAAAATGCCCCTAGAAACTCAGAGAGTATGGAAAGAGGACACTATAGGACTAAGTACAGTGGCAGATTGCCTGTGGACTATAAGAAAATATTTATCCTACCAAAGACATTTAGATTTGATTTAAAACAAAAGAAACCAGAGGGGAGGGAGGGAGGGAATGGTGGGAGGGAGGGAGGAAGGACATAAATTGCCTAAACTTGCCCTTCCTCATCATTCATTCCCTGTTGAGACCATGCACTCACCTCTGCATTCATACTTGAGGTCTGAGAAGTAGACCATTTCTTGGGAGAAGACAAACAGGCCCAGCCGTCCGCCAGCATAGGTTTGGTCATAGATCGGTCCTGAATCAGCCATGACTTGCTTTCCTTCATGCACTAAGACTCTAAAACAGGTAAGGAAGTAAACATTAAAAAGAGAACTTGAACTCTGCCACACATTCACCGGAGAATAGTGGCTGATTCTGGATGCCAGCTGTTGATCAAGATGAATCTACTCTCCCTGTTTGGTGCTAAAGATGAAAGCATGGCCTTGAATTTGCTGACCAAGAGTTCTCTGCTCTACCACAGAGCTACACTCAGGAATCTGTAGTCCATTCTCTGGTCAGCATTGTAGCAACTGTGCCAGGCTTGCCTTTCCTGTAGGAATACAGAGTCCCTATCAGGCAGCAGGGTCTGAAGGGCCCATTTCTTCTCACAAGCAAAGCTGCTACACCCTCAGTATGTGTGTGACTACAATCACCCAGGTTTGAAAAAGGTTGCCTTTAAGAGCCAAGGCAGTGTGAAGATTGAAAGGTGTTTCCTGATTGCCTGTAGGGGATGGGTGCCTTTTTCTCTTCCCTGGAGCCAGGTCTTCCCCTGAGTATGGCCCTCTTAGCTTTCATTTTCCATGAAAATCTCAAGTCCCATCTTTGTCCCATTATAAGAGCTGTCTGATAGTGGGGACTATCTTCCTGGCCCAAGTGGGAAGTAATGTCACAGAACTCCCTAATGGAGTACATAGCAGATGGGGCCCCTTTGCAGGGATATCACACCCTACACACCAGTTTACTCCTCACCTGCCCAGACCCTCAAGGATCTGCAAACACAAGACAACCAGTAGGGGTGTGATTCAGTGATAAAACATTTGCTTATCATATACAAAATCCTAGATTCTATCCAGATGGATGTGGAATGGGTTTTCACATCACCCAACAAGTATCTTAAGACATAGATTTGTTTCAAGATTTTAAAGTAAGTGATGCATAGTAAGAATGCAAGATAGATGAGAAAAGTCATTTAAAACTGAGGAACCCAGAGAAGATATGAAAGAGTTCATACGGCACAGTTATCTGTTGATACACTCTGATGGGAGGGAAGACAAAGAAGGCAGATTGTCTACCCAATGAAAAAGCACTCTGTCTATCCAATGTAAAGCAGAGTAACTGTACAGCCAATGAAAAGCCATCTGGCCATCCAATGGGAAAGCAGACTGGTTATCCAATGGGAAGAGAGTTCCCAGGGGCCTATCTCTGGACCCTTACCTCATGTAGCCTGTCTTAGGCCTGTGAGTCAGGTGCCACCTGTAGGCGGTATAGTCTTTCCAGCCAATGTTTTTGGGGTCATGCCATAGCGTGCGCACCTGTGGGGAAGCATCATTGTTGAAGGATGAGATACATGCCTTTCTACCATTCTTTGCCCCCCTGGACTGTGCAAAGTAAGACCCCACTTACTGGATTGCCTCTCTGATATATTTTGCTTTATATGCTATATTTTTCAGACACTGTATATCATCTACCCTACTATGCACTATGCACACCTATGGGCACCTACAATGGGCACCTAAATCCAATGCATAGTGTGTTACAGTTAATACCAAGAGCATGAACACTTGGCCCAGACAGTCATGGGTCTGAATTCAGATCTTCTCTCCTTGTGTGTGAAACTATGAACAGGACACTGACACTGGCAAGTCCTGACTCTGTAAGAGATTGGACAAGTGTTCAAGCTTGTCAACTATGCTGGCAGGAGCACTGGGCATTCTGTGTTTAATGAAGTAGATATTCAATACCAACTATTAAAATGATTTCTACTTGATTAAAAATTAACCAAGAACATAATTTAAAATTAATGAGAGTGTAGGGTCTGTCTGGAAGAGATCATCAATTGCCCAGTCCCTCACCTGGCCTTCTGTGTTCCCTGTGTGCCACAGGGCATTCCTCAGATGCTCGCCAGTACCAGTCGTGGAGTTTACCACTTTGAGTGACACGCCAGAGTAGCCATAAGCCCGACTTGGCTTGTCTTCCCAGTAGGTCTGAGTAACCTGCTTCCACATCACCACATAGAAGCGGCTGCTTGACTGATAGCCAAAGACAAAGCCAGCATAGTCGTCATCCCGGTCAGTGTTGACGTAGAATGTACCACTGAAGTCCACAGACCCAAACTCATCAAAACCTGGACACAGAGAAAATATGCATAGTTTGGAGGCCCAGGAAAAAGCATCTCAGGGATCCCCTTTGGGCTCCATGTCACAGAAACATGGGTCTAAGCAACTTAGATTGGCTTTGCCCCATGAACTTCATAGAGATTAGCAAAAGTTACAAGAATTATAACCTAACCAATACTTCTGTTGGGCTCCAGAACACAGAGGTCCCACTGTGTCATGTACCATTTCAGACAGTCCATAATATGAGCTGGCTTATTGAATATCAAATAGACACGAGAGGCAAACCTGTGCTTTCCCATAGCCCCTTACCTGGTTATGAAGGGAGACTATTCTACACACCAAGGAAGGGTAAGGCTACCAGAAAATATCATCTTGAATCCTGTCCACATGGCCTCACTTGGCCACTCAAAAGCATCACCTCACTTGGGATCTCAGGCTCACCTACAGCAATGCCAGGGTCTGAGTTCGCTGTCTGTACCAGCTCTTTGCCTTGGTGACGTATTACCCAGTTAGGATCGATTTGTGTAGTTCCCTTGGGATCCAGAGGAACCATCTGGAAGTTCCTGAAATCTGTCTCAGTGATAGCATTGTTCTCGGGGCACACGTCATCAATATCTGGGACGTTGTCATTGTCAAAGTCATCTTTACAAATATCGCCTCGGCCATCGCCTGTGGATAAGGAAGAAAGAAACACAGGGGACAAGGTTGGTGATTTGCACTTGTTTTGCAGTGCATAAGCAGACTCCTCTGGGCCCCTAAGATCTGAGGCTGAGTACCTTGCAGATAACCATGAATTGAGAGTCAGCTACCTCCTAAGCATTGAGCTTGTAAAGCTGTGAAGACTCCTGGAGATACTTTTAAAAACATCACAGCAAATCCTGCAGCCGAGGATAGCGAGGATAGCGTGGTAAGGCCCTCACAAGAGCTCCACCCTTCACACTCAGAGGCAGCTGACAATGTCTCTCTAAGCTCATCTCTGCCATTCTTAATAATTGGAGCCATTTTAATTTATTTGGTATTTAAAATAGAACCTTTGCAACACACATGACTTTCCCTAGGGAGATTGGGCCCAAAGAGGTTGGTATGCAAAGGGGGATAGGTCATGCCAGTGACCCAGCCCTCTGCCACAGTGAGATGCCCCTAGGCAGAGGCAATGAGGTAGACAGGGCACTCTGCTGTAACCTCTTATTTCAAAAGGAAGAAAAGAAACCATATTTGGTATCAAGATTGGTATCTTCATTCTACCATTCTCCAAGCTAGTTTCCAGTTCTGCAACCACCATCACAAGCTCCCCTACTGTGTGACACACATAATTAGTTGTACAGGCATTTTCTTTTCTTGAGACAGGGAGGGCCTTGTAGGGCTTACCTCAAGGATGACTTTGAACTTCTGGTCTACCTCCTGAGTTCTATATAGGTATTCATCCCTATGCTTTGTCTGTGTAGTGCTGAGTTTCATGAACACCAGGCAAGTGCCCTTCCAGTTAAGCTACATCCCTAGCCTTAATAATGGCATCTTAAAAGTGTTAATAGTGTCTGCCTAGGTATGCCAACCTCTCCTCCTTCCCAGTCCCCTTCCAAGATGAGCCAAATCCCTCCCTCATCCCACCCTCCCCCTGTCTACACTGTGGTCTGCATCAAGCTGGGAGCTTTCTGCTGAAAATCCTCTTCCCTGTGCCGGGAAGATCAGAGCTGCCCTTGGGCCTTGGCCAGCCTTTTCACGTGCTTCTGAGTCACATTGGCTCAACACCCCAGGACTCCTGGTCTCCATTTGTTCAGGATAAATGTCTTCCAAATAGTGCTTGGATCATGCTGGCAGTTGGGAGGGAATTACTGCCAGCCTATCAGCAAGCACAGCTGCGTGCTTTGTTATTCAGGGTTGTAGTCCTTTCTGGGGTATGACTTCCTCCAGAGCTTGCACAGCTACAGACCACAGATTTACACAAGACCTTCCATTTCACACTTTCCCTATTTTAGTTACTAGATACAAAATAACACCCCCCAAATCATGTCACCAGTGACCCTTTTTCTTCATAAGCGATTGCCAAAGGTTTTCAAAAGTACATGGATATTGAGAGGGCTCCTTATCCTGGCATACACAAACACATTTCTCCTCTATCATTGGTAGAATAGTAAATACAGAAGAAGAGGCTGAAACTGCCAAGAGGGCTAGACAGAAAAACAGCCATACCTGTGGACAGCCCCCTAAGATAGCCATCCTGCTGACTTTTAAAGTGGCCTCATTATAACCAGAGAAGTTCTGCCTCTGTGGGATTACTCATGCAGTTTGCAATACACATATGAGCTGAGGGAGGCACCCACCATCTGAGTCTTCCTGATCTGGGTTGAAGACCAGTCTGCAGTTGTCCCTGTCATCTGGAACACCATCATTGTCATCATCAGAGTCACAAGCATCACCCTTGCCGTCATTGTCATGGTCAGCCTGATTGGAGTTGGAGATGTATGGGCAGTTGTCTTGGTTGTTCTGGTGGCCATCATCATCTATGTCTTCATTGTTATCACACTGATCTCCAACAAGATCATTGTCCATATCCATCTGAAGGACAGAGCACGAAGTGAACACCATGAATACCCCTTGAGGAAGCACATGAAGGCTAGGGTGCTAGACTGTAGACCGCCCCCATTGTGTTACAGGCCAGCACTGGGGGCAGGGGGTACAACACAAAACAGTACCTGGAAGAATCCAGACGCCTGAGTTCAGGTTCTCCCAGCCTGTGCCCAGTCCCACAGGGAACTTACTGTAGTTAACTACCACTCAACAATCACGGGTACCACTTTCCCCACCATTTGTTACTGTACCCTCTGCAGGCCATATTTCTAGGTCACATCCTCCTTGTCTCTTCCAAAGACAAGTCTGGAGATTTAGCTGATTCTGGGTTTGCCTCAGGGTAACCATGGAGACAAATTTCCCCACTTCCTTACTTGGCCTGTGGCCACCTAGATACAATGGGTTCTCTAAGAGGCCCAAGATGAGATTATAGAAAAATCTATGTTGTCATCTTGGCAGAACAGAAGAGAACCACACAGAATCGTCTTTATGGAGCTGTTTGAGGATGTGGAATGCCCTGTTCTGAGATGCTGGTCACCCTCACAGGCTCAGCTTAGGATCACAGATCCCTGTTGGGAGACATGCCGTCACCTGATCTGGGTTGTGCATCAGGGGGCAATTGTCACAGTGGTCGCCCACACCATCACCGTCTGTGTCTCTCTGGTCAGTGTTGTAGACATAGGGGCAGTTGTCTCGTTCATTGAAAACATCTGTTGGTGGAAGAAACAAAGTAGTAATGCACAAAGTTCAGGGAAAGTATGTCATTTTCCCATCCTAAGATGCAAACTCTCACTAAGAAAATGGCAAAAATGTAAAGATTATTAGATTCATGGAAGAGTGTATGATATATTTTCCATTAAAATTTGAATTCCCAGTGAGACCATGTCTCAAAAAAAAAAAGTCCCAATTCCCTTAGCCTAAAATTAGTTAATGTTGGGAATTCTCTGTGGTGATGCTGCCCAATGTGAACAGGCTGAATGTGGCCTATCTCTGTGCTTGCAGCATTGGCTATTCTCACTTAGATCTCAGAAAATATGTGTTAAGACCACAGGAATGTATTAGGCTCTGAGTGATGCTGCCTCCACATCTATGAACGGTAGGAGAGAAGCAATGGTGGAGATAGATTGGCCAGGGTTTTAGCAATCTGAAAATAGGTAACAAAGTCCACCAGTACTGGAGAAATGATAATTCTTAAAAAGATACAGTGGCAAAGTGAAGGGTTATAACTAGCAAATAGGAAAGAAGGGACCCTGACCACTGGCCTTGCCTCAGCCCAAGGAAGAGAAGGGCATTTGAGGGAGGTATGAAGGCCAATAGAAAGAAATCCCTAAAATGACAGGGTATAAAGAATCTGAGGCCCCAGCCAGTGTAACAGATGTACTAGCCTACATCAAGATGGAATGAGGTACCTGCTGACCACATCAAGCTCTGAGAAGGCAGAGTGGTCCAGACTGTCCTGAGGATAAGGCTGGATGTAAAAGCTCACTGGAAAGCTCTACAAAAAGACACACTTTGAGATGGGTCCAAATATCAGGGTAGAGTGAGTCAAAGTGGATGAAGGGACTCCAGGCTGGGAAGGGGTAAGGAGAGGGGGGACTGAGACTCACAGGGTACACAAAGAAGTAGAGCAGAGCAGTGATCTGAGTGTCTCCTGGCTCTACAGTGACCCCCTAAGACAGAGAGGCCACCAGGTCTCAAGGTCAAATGTCAGCCTGCAGTGACGTCAGAGCTCTCAGGGTACACCCATTTCACTCCACCTCCGGAGGGACCCAGATGCTGTGTTTAGACCTTATCAATAAACAACAAGAAATGGAACAGAGGTGAGACAGCTCTCCTCAAGCCTTTCTCAGAGCAGACAGGTGAGGCTTGGATGTTTGAGATGCACATTCGCTGAGGGAGACGCAATGAAGGGAGTAAGCTATGGCAGCTGTGGAGCTGGCATTAATGGAAGAAGATGCAGGAGATTGTGGTTTTCTAAGAACGAGCCCAAGGCTTATGGGAGAAGGCAGGCTATTTAAGGGATCAGTTTCGTAAGATAAAAAGTTGAGCTCCTCCAAGAAGTTCAGAATTGTGAGTGCAATTGGCCCTGGCATACATAGAAGGTTGCTACCAGGATCCACAGAATGTCCAAACCAATTACACAAAAACGGCGTTTATTTACAAACAATCTAGGTGCTACCTCCTACGTACTTAAAAGTCATCTCTACGCTATAATTTTGTTGTTTCATTTCATGACAAGATAAAGGTCTAGCGGTTAGTAAGATGGCTTAGTGGGTAAAAGTGCTTGTAATACAAGCCTGATGACCCAAGTTTGATCCTCAGAATTTCACATCAAAACCAAACAGACAAACAAAACCCAGATGCAGTGGTTAGTATCTGTAACCCCAGCCCCTCCACGGCAAGATGAGCAGAAGATAAGGAGAATCACCTGGGTGGTCCCAGATTAGCCCGTCTGGAGTGCAATGAGACAGAAGGCAAAGAGGTCCTGTCTCAAGAAGGTGGAAGGACAGAACCAACTCCGGCAAGTTGTTTTCTGACCCCCACATGCACAGGGCGGCACCCTCCCCCTCCAGACACCTCAGACACACATAAATAAATGAGCTTTAAAGTCTGTACATGCTCATTGGATGCAATCTCTTTTTCAACTCTCTATCTAGGGTTAGCTGATGTGTGGCTGTAGAGCTGAGTGCACAAAGGGTCCACTCACTTGTAACCCTGATCTGAGTCACTAAAAGAAGCAGAGACACTGAGTCACTAAAAGAAGCAGAGCCACTGACCGTCCCCATCAATGTCCACAGAGCAGGCATCGCCTTCCCCGTTGTTGTCGGTGTCAATCTGTGCTGGGTTGTGCACATAAGGGCAGTTATCACATCGGTCTCCAACCTCATCCTTGTCATAGTCTAACTGACGGGGATTGAAGAGAAGCTGACAGTTGTCCTAGAAACACCAGAAAAAGGACTTCAGAAAGGACACAGAACATGTACCAGATTGCCATAAGACAGTCCAGTACTTATAAGAAAACCAACAAAGAGGCAAAGAAAATGAGCCAGTCCAGCCCTCCACAAGCTCCTTTTCAATATCGTGTGGTGTTACAATTATGTACACAGCTGTCCTGTCCCATAAGGATTAAGGTTTCCTATTGCAAATTGGCTGTTTCATCTGCTTCACAGGGAAGCCAAATGGATGAGAGTATAGGTGAGTGTTCACAGGGAAGCCAAATGGATGAGAGTATAGGTGAGTGGATGGATGGATGGATGGATGGATGGATGGGTGGATGGATGAGCAGTGAAGAACACTGAACCTCCCCATCAAGAACCCATCCTCAGGGGGCTTTGTGAGCCACATGTTAAACCTCCTGCTTGTAGCACTTGTCACTTCCCTCAAGCACAGCTCACCAGATGAAAGGGAAGCTAATAAGGGCTTTTAAAGAAAGTGACATTGCTGAGCAGTTTCTGCATTGTATCACGGGGAGACCCATGCACCAGCTGATCAGCATTTGCAATGACAGCTTTCCATATTGGTGGCTTCTGGGAACGATTCACAAATATGTGTCAGTAGACCAGCTTTGGGGGGACATTGTTTAAGAGTCCTGGTCTCGCAGCACCCATCCTACCTTCTCATCGCTCACACCGTCATTGTCGTCATCCTCATCACAAGCATCTCCAATTCCATCTTTATCAAAATCCTCCTGCCCAGAATTTGGCAGTTTGGGGCAGTTGTCCTGTGATTTGGAGAGGAAGAACAACCATGAAAGCATTCCAAAGTGACCTTTCCAAAAACAAGGAAAAATAAAACAAGACTTGTGAAGCCAAGGATATAAATATCAGATACAAGTCCTCAGATAAAAGCAGAGGAATGGTGATCAGAGCCAGCTGGCCTGGACGTGTGCTGTGCTTTTAAGTCCTACCCCAGGAATTATGTCACTGCTGCACAGGACAAAAGGAGCCCTGTCCTGAGCCCAGGATCCCCAGGAAGGGAACAGACACATGGGAGGACAGAGGAAAGTGAGGAGAGCCTGTCCCAGGAGAGGAAGAGCAGCAGATGCTCAGAGTCCGGTTCTTTCCCACAGCCCCAGTATGTATGCAAGCTTGGCCCTCACTGGCCAATAGGCCTCAGAGGAAGAAGCCTCCTCATAGGTGCAGATGTGATGGAGTGGGTTTAGGTCTGAGGCTGGACAGGTGGTGCTCTCTTGCTTCTGGTCGGGTCACGGAGGGGACCCCAGGTGAACCCTTGGAGCTTGAACTTGCAGCCGTCACCATCTTCTTGTATAAGTGCATTCTCCCCGAATAAACTTCATTTAACCTGTACTGAGTCTAGTGAATCTTGATTCCCACACAATAGATACCTGTACACTCCACAATCAGACCCAAGCTCTCTTCATGCCTGCAGTTGTAGAAAAATGTGTAGCTTTAACACCATCCAGTCTCAAAGTAGGAAGTTCATGTGGAGTGTGGGAGGGAACAAGACAATTTGGAGTTTCTCACTATTTAGATCATTGCTTCCAAATTGGCCCAATCTTTTCTGGCAGTGAATCATTGAAGAGGAACTAAGGGACAGACTTTTACACTGACTGAAGAGAATTGAGGGGTAGAACCCTATGCTGATGAAGAGAGATAGAGAGCAAAATCCTGCACCAATGAAGAGGGATTAAGGCATAGACCCCTGCCACTGACTGAAAGAGAGACTGAAGCACACAGTCCTAGCTCTTGGCCTGAGATAAATGTGAGTCTCACCTTGATGCAATGGTAGGTGGCATTGGTAGCACACACCAGGTTGCTGTTGGGCCAGCCATCCAGGTCTGAGTCCTCCCCACAGATGAGCCCGTCACCGGCATAGCCAGTCTGGCACTCACATTTGTACATGGGGTCACTGAAGTGGCCTAAGTAGATGCACTCTGCATGCTTGTGGCAGTTGTGAGTCTTGTCCTTGCATGGATTTTCTGGCTCGCATACCTGCAAGACCAAGAGTAGTAAGAACTACAGACAGGACATACTAGGACAGAAGTGGCCATGGGTACCCACGAGAATGCCAAGAGGCTCATTGTATGTGGACTTAGGGGGTATGGCATCATGCTGGGCTCCCAAAGTACTAATTTGGATCTCTCAGGAAGCAGGCTTGTATATTTTTAATGGTTATCTGAGCCAGATAAATATCGTTTCTGAATTTACCATGTGACACAACCCACAATGACTTTGTTGTGATCCCCAAGCCATGTGTTAGAATCTATGTCCCAGTGTGGTGGCTGAAGGAAGTGAAGTCTCATTGGAGGTGTGGTCATCAGGCTCCTCCCACTTCAGCATATCAAAGCTGAATCTCTCTCTCTCTCTTTCTGTATCTATCTTTGTCTCTTGGTCTCTCCCTCTCCCTCCCCACCCCCCCCCTCTCCTGCCATGCAATGCAATGACAACACAAAGACCTGGCTTAGCCTGGTCCTTAGTCTAGGATTTTCAGTCTCCAAAATTATGATAAATAAGTGTCCTTCCTTTATCTCTACCCTGCCATTTTGCTATAGCATCCAAGAACTGACCAAGGTGTCACTGCTGCCAGAAGTTCACAGGCCCTTTGCATGAAAACATGGATTCCCCGTGTCAGTAGGAGAGGCCCCAGATGAACAGCACATGAGAGGCTTCTGTAAGGTAAGCTGTCTCCATCCCTCTCTCAACAATGTTGTCTGTTCTCTTCCCTATCCCATCTCCACTTACCTAGACTACTCTGACTTTTTTAAGACTTTAGAAACACAGGTAAGGTCAGCACCACTTACTTGTTTCTCTGTCCTAGCAGCCTCCAGGCCAACCCCAAAGGGCTGGCTTCCCTTGTAGCGTGGGGGACAAGGCAGGCAGTGGAAACCAGGGTTGGTGTTGACACAACGGGAAGCTTTGTTGGTTGAGAAGCAAATATCTGTGACCACAGCGCACTGTGAGGACAAACAGAAGTGAGCCTCTCTCCATATCTCCACAGGACACCCTGCTGCCCAAGGTGGAGGTACCAACCTCATCTAGGTCCTCACAATGGGTGCCATTGCCCAGGAAGCCCATTGGGCAGGAGCCACAGGACCAGGACCCATCAGGGAAGCTGTTGCACTTGGCTCCAGGAAAACACGGGTTGGATAAGCACCCATCTGCATGGGGGATGAGGGACAGGGCTATGACCGGATGCCACACACATATGCACATGTGGGCATGCACACACACACACACACACACACACACACACACACACACACACACACACACAAGAGTGCATGCCCTGGTACCCACCAGTGGGGCAGCTCCTTTCATACACACATGCATGCACACATGCAGACACACATGCAGACATGCCCTTTTACTCACCAATAGGACAACTTCTCTTGTTGCACATTTGATGCTCCTTCACATCCCCCACACAGTCCTTCCCACCATACTGAGGCTCCGGGTTGTTGCAAACACGTGTCCGTTCACGGATCCCTCCAGCACAGGTGACTGTACAGGCTGACCAAGGAGACCAGGGGCTCCAACGGCCATCAACTGTAGAGAAAACCAGAAAAGATGTCTGAGAGGCAGATGGAGGACTGGATGTATTATTGGCACTGACAAGGGCAGAGGGAAGATGACACTGATACCCTGGCTATTCAAAGCAGTTGAAGAGACTGGTGTATAAATGAAAGGGGAGGGGCTGGCCTACTGTGGATTTCCACAGCCATGATTCAGGGAGTGGTATTAATTGCAGAATTGCTGATAGACTGCTTTGTCTCTGAGAGAAAATCTTTATAATCATTTATAGCCAGAAGCCTGTTTCCTTACTGAGCCAGTTCTCCAGTGTAGACCAGTCTCCAGTCTGAAACACTTTATGGAATTGATTCTTATTGCATTGGGCAGAGAGGCAGTGAAGATCTGGGTACTACAGAAGCACCCTCCCCCCCCCCCCGGAGGTGCTGGTATGCTAAGCTGTGTGTCCCTTAAATTACAACTTGCTGTGGCTTCAACAGTCCTGTCCTGAGACCCACTCTGCTTGTTTCCCGCTCCAAGTCTGGCTTATTTTTCTGCAAATGACAATCTCTGTCCACTTGATTGCTCTGGGCAAGATACAAAGACATCAGGTTAACTAGGAGGTCAGGGTGGGGATCCATGGATGGGCAAGATCTCACATTAAAGACAACCACACCCTCCCAGCTCAAGCTGGGCTGGCTTTTGATTTGGAGACCAGATTAAGCTTGTGTGGGCCGTGGTGGCCCACTCTACAAGCCATCATAGAGAGATGTCCCACTCAGGCAGGACATCACTGCTCCCAGCATCACCTACTTACCCGGGCATGGTGAACCCTGGCAAGCCTTGGTCTCCCGGCCACTGCCTTTGCAGTTCTTGCCACCCATTTGGGGTACTGGAGAGTTGCAGAGACGTATGCGAGTGACGTTGCCAACTCCACAAGTCACGGAGCATGAAGACCAGGGTGACCAGTGACTCCAGCCACCATTCTGGCGGACTGACATAAAGAGCACAAAGAGGCTGTGATCCCAGGCTAGGCAATCCCCAAATCTGTTTTCCCAGCTAATCCCTGTTTCCACTGAAGAGGGCAGGCAAAAGGCACCATCTTCACCCAGAAGAAAGCTTCTCCATTGGCAAAAACCTTCCCTGACACCGTAGCCTCCAGACATCGGCAAATAGCCGTTGCTAGCATACCCACATGGAGAGCCATCCACCCTACCCTGGCATATGGCAGGGGTACACTCACTTCGTGTATCACATTTTCCCAGGCTGCATGCCCTTGTCTGAATGGAGGGGCCCAGGCAGGTGTTGCTGGTGACATCACAAGACCTTCCTCTCTGCTGGGTCCCAGAGCCACAGGTGACAGAACACTCAGTCCACTCTGCCCACGGAGACCAGTCCTCGTCATTGTCTGAAGCTAACCAAGAAAGTACACGCACACATGAGGTTGGATTCTCCCTCTTCATATGCCCCAAGGAAGTCAGGTACTGCAGCCATGTGGGGACTACTTTAGAGACATCTTAACAGGGAGGGGTTGGCAGGAGGGAAATTCTATGGGCAGAGGCCCACCCTCTGGGCAAGAATTGGAGTTCCTTCAAAGGGAAGAGCAAATCTCAGGGAAGAAAACATGGGGTGATTAAAAAAAAAGAGTAATCTATGATGGGGGAAGTACTTCTGTGTATGTTTATCTTATTGATTGTTAAATAAAATACTGTTTGGCCAATGAGACGGCAAGTTAGACGGGACTAGGAGTCAAAGAGGATTCTGGGAAATGTAGTAGAGAAGTGGTGATCCAGGCAGGAAGTGACATAGCAAGGAGACTCATATTTAAGCAAAGGAAAGAGGAAGGGTTCCCCTTTTCCCCTCCACTCTTCCTCCAGCAGAGCAATGTGATCCACCGACAAGGAGGGAAGCCAATAAGGCGTCCGATAAGATAAGTCTTATAAAATATATAGATTTATGATAATTAAGACTGAGCTAACAGATGAAAATCCTAGTCATTGGCCAAGCAGCATTTGAAACTAATACAAGTCTCTCTGTGTATTAATTGGGGCCCTAACTCAGGCAGGCAGCTGGCATAAAGCGCACATGTGGCAGTGGGACTCAGCGGCTTTTGGCGGAAAGATTTATCATAACAAATCTAGATGTGTTTAAGGAAGCTAGTCCACAGAGTGGAGGAGATGGCGCCTAAAGAAAGTGTCTACAGGCAGCATTTTCAAAGTCACCAAGAGGTCATTTCTGCACAGCTTCTGTTGACACATATAAGGTAACAACATGTCAACCACGGGTTGGAATTACGGCTTGCATAATGTATTTCCAAACACTTTTTAAAAAATTTAATAAAAAGACAATTTTCTTGAAGAAATTTTTTCCCACAGGCACACAGGGTATGGTGTCCCAGTGCTGGGACTTGAACTAAAGGTACAGTATATAGTAGGTCTCTTAGTAGGGGTCTCATAGTAGGGGTCTCTCAGCAGGGATCTCTTAGTAGGGAGTCTCTTATTAGGAGTCCTTTTGGACAATAAAGGAAAGAAAGAAGAGCAGCTGCAAGAACAGCATTGAGCACAGGCAGCCAGAGCACCCAGGCTGCCTGCTGTGCTCTCGTCCTCACCGATTTAGGGGAAGCAGATTCAGGCACCCAGTACTGTGGTAGTGGCATTGCTGTGTTGAACAAGTAACTGGGATTCTGGACACACACAAGAAAGACAGACTGGGATAAAACCTGAGCTGAGGCATCCAGAACACTCAGGGATGGTGACTGGGTTGGGAACCTGAGTTTGAGTCTGATGCCTGACACAGGGTGACTGGGTTGGAAGGGCTGCCCACCGTGTGGGGAAGCTGCAGTTGAGCATCACCCGGAGGCCAGATCCAGAGCATTGGCACAGGGATCCAAGACCAGAGGGGATTTTGAGTGAGGCTTTGAGCTGAGTCTAAAAGGGGCAGCTCAGGGGCTTCTAGAATTCATCAGAGCCTCCAGGACTCCCTTCACACCAGCCCAGCTCCATCTCTACAGTTTCAGACCTCACAGAACTGGCTCCACCATAGTCCAATTCTGTGTCACTTGGACCATGTCTCTGTAACTTGAATGCATCATTGAGTAACTGTCTCTGGATTCTGTGTTTATTTACTGTATCATGGGTTTCACAGCAACTGCTCAGTCATCACTCAGCCCAGGTCTAGCTGAAGCTCTTGCTCACACTGGCTACTGACACAGGGGCCTAGTTCTTGGCTTGGGAGTTGGGACATTGGTCACTGCAGGATCACTAGGGGCCTGTTGTCTGGGATGAGCCAGAACAGGACAGCTGCAGGCACTTACTTTCTAGAGCTCTCAATAGCTTCCTGGCCACTGGCTAGTGGCTGAAGTAGAGCCTTAGCCTTGCCTCTGCTCCTCCTCCACTGCCTGCCTCTAGGAATCCCAGCCTCACCCTCCTCTAGTCAAACCACAAAACAAATAAACAGAAGCAACCACTAGGGCTCACAGCTTTCTTACCACAGGAGACTTACAATGGGAACAGGATGGACAGCACTCGCCTTCCACAAAAGATGGGTTGGCACAAGTGGCCGGTGAGCAAGTGATTTGATGGCACACTGTTTTAAATTTCTGAAACAATAGAAAAATATTTGGAAAAACAGTTATCTAATGTAACAGGCATTGCCACGGAAGCTGGATGAAGAAAGATCAGCAAGATAGCTAGGCCTTTTTCTGTCTACAAATCCTACTTCAAATACAGGGTTTATGCAGGCCCAAGGGGACTCTGCAAGCACTGACACTTTGCCCTCCCACCATGAGCAAAGAGATGACAACATCAGCTTTTGAGCCCTCTGGGTGGAGAAGAAGAAGAATGACAGAATATTCCAAGATCCCCCGATATATAGGTCAACACACGGACAGGGAGTGATGAGAAGAAACTAAACCACTTCGGTCTTCTTGGTAATGACTATGCTTCCCAGACATCTCTGTGAGCACTGAGGCCCTGTCAGAGATGAATGGGATCAAATACACACTAGTGGAGAACGATACAGCTGTGTCCCCACTGTCTCTCTGCACATGGTAATGCTGCACAAGCCACTCCACCCTCCAGGGTATGATTTCTTTATGCATAGCACCAAGAGGTCAATTTAAGTTACCTCTATGTTCCCTTCCATGTCTATGGCTCTCATGTTGAGCCTTCCGTGTATCTAAACACCTTTTATACATATGTGCTGAGTAGGTCATTGCCAGCCATTAGGATCTACACATGTCAATTTGAACATGCCTGCCCTGTGCAGGGCACTTCTGTCTCCAGAAGGACTTGTCTCTGAAAACTCACCTTGCAGGTGCATGTGGTACAGCTGTCTACAACCCAAGTTTCATTTTCTGCAAAGATTCGGCCCTCCTGCACACAGGCTGACATGTTCCTTGTCTTCAGAGGGCCTCCAATGAGCTCCAAAAGGAACTGGTTATCATTGGACTGAAAACAGAGGTGAGAATTGGGATAAGGATTCAATGGCCCTCCTCCATGGAGGAGCTGAGGTCAAGCGCTAAAGCCCCAGGTGTAGATGAAACTGCATGAGGATACTAGGTACTGATAAAAAACTGATGGTACTGCAAAACCACTCGAACTTCTGCAACCAAGACCTCATCACAGAACTTGGCTATACACACTGGTCTCCCTACCCCTTCCCTACCCACAGCTAATATCCACCACACAGACATGCATAAGTACCATTCCCTCAACCCCTGGGCTAACCAAGCCTCAAAAAACACTACTGTGCACAGTGGGCAGAGGTCAAGGGAGGGGGGAGAGGCCAGTTTATGAATTCACCGGCTCTTCCTTTTGCTCAGCGATAGGACATGAAAGATGAGTGCTGAGGTAATAACAAGGAAGAAGATGGCCACAATATTGACCACCTGGACATTATACCAGGGGTGAAACCTGACCAAATGCCACTAAACATGTATACATTTGCCATAGCCGCCTCAGAACTCTGTTGGTTCCCCCAAGGTACAATGTCTGAACTTGGGGTAATAGGCCTTGGGGATCAGAGGAGTGTCAGGAACCTTCAACTACAAATACACACAGAAACACACCATCTCTGTGGCTTCCTGCAGCTTCAGGGGTTCACATGTTTCCTTGACCTCTGACTTCATGTTAAGTAATAATGGAACACATTGCAGTTGTAGGGAGCTGCCAGGCCCCATGCTCAACCCCTGTCTTTTCTGAGCTCTGCTGTCTGGTCATCTGGCAAGCCAGCCAGGACCACCACTATGCACTGAACTCAGTAATTCCTGGTATAGCAATGAATTAAATGATGCCACCAGGGGACCTTAAGTAAGAGGCCAACTGAAGCAGAAGCCTCTGTCCCAAAGAGCACTCTGCACAGGCTTTGGATGGGACTTTCTCCCCCAGAAATAGGGGAGCCTTTCAGGAAGTGTTTGTGTGGAGCTCCCCCTGCCCCTCTCTGCTTCTCGAAATTCCATGGGCATCCCAGGACACTGTAGCCAGGAGAGACTACAACTCTCATCTCACTCTTCAAAGCCATAAAGCACCCACTCTGGAGTGTGCAACTCCGTCCCCTGCTTCTGCACACTTTGGGGCACACATATTCAGCCATAAAAACCATAGGGTTGAGACATTCCTCAAGCCTGCAGGCTACTCCTCTCAACACTCAGTCCTGCACATAAAATGTCTTCCTGTGCATGGATGTCTTTTCTTCTCTGGAAGATGCATTTTCCTGAAGCACAGGTTTATCATGGAGAACTTTTGTCTGCTGATTGTGTTGTTATTTGCAATACTTCCTAGTATCTATCTTTCCGCTCACTAACTTCGTGGTAGACCAGCATCCTGAAGGGCCCGACCTGGATAGCCTCTTAATGTGGCTTTCTAATCAGTTTTCCCCGAGGCACTGAAGTAGTGGTCCTCGGAGGCCCGAGTGCCTGGTTGGTGGGAGGGCTGGCTCTGGAGTCTTCCCTGAAAGACTACCATCTGTTCCCACTACCCTCACTTGCCAACTCTGCCATCCACTAGGCACTCACCACTCTCTCCAGGTTCTTGCTCAGCTGGTTCACCATGACATGCAATCCAGACAGCTCGTTTATCATGTTGCTCAACTCTTCACAGGAGTGTGTGCATACCTCCTGCGTCTTCTCCACACCCTGGCCCACCAGGTCTGTGGTGATATGAGGGCTCAGGTGGAGTGTCTCTGTGTGCTCACTGATGGTGTTGACTTCAGCTAAGGGAGAGAAAGCATGGTCAGTGCAGCACAGCCCCTGAGGTGTCACCCATGAAGCTGTCTGCTTTCTTGGGGTGGCCACATGCTAAATTGTATCTGCCAACACAAGGACATTTGGTGTCAACCACTCTGTATGACTATATGGTTCCCCAGCAGGGTTGAGGTCCAGCCTAAGGACAGAGAAAGGCAGAGAAGAGCAATGGGAGACAAGTAATTTGTAATGCAGGGCCACACATAACACACCTCAATAAAGCTGAGTTGAGGGATAGAGCCTTGTCCTCAACCCTAACCCCAAGTCTGTTCCTCCAACACAGTCTGTATACTTAGCCCTCCCTGTCACTCTTCCTATGCCCCATGGTAACCCGCTTGTTCATTATAGGGACTTCCTTTCAGAATAAAAGCAAACTCAAGTATCTTCATAGCAGGAACACACACCTCCAGTAAACACTGTTTGCTCTCCACACAGTATGCTCTGCTGCTCAGTGGCTCCTCAGAGCGAAGGTAGACACTCAAAGCCCTGGCCCAATCACAGAGAGTCTGCCTGAACCATGAATTCACAGACTCCTCAATTCTCAAATTGCAGACAAGTCCAAAAATAGTTGCCCTCAGCTAATCCAGAGTGAAGGGCTCCAGGGAAGGGAGCGCTCCAGGGAGGGAAGAAGGAAGGGATGACAGACTTCACTCCACAACTGAGTGCTTATTGCTTGGGCTCAAAAATGTGTGGCAATCCACATGGCTCCTGGAAGCCCATATACCCAGTGTAATTCCAACCATAGAAGTGGTGCTAATACAAGTACTTGTATAACTAAGTAGACAGGGACACTCTTAAATAGATTTTGAGTAGATTTTATTCAGCACTTTTTTTCATTTATGGTTTTTAAAATCTTTAGCATATCTAAGATACCTATTTTTCGTGTCCTAGACTTAAGCAAAACAAACCAATTTGTGCCTTCACTCATTCCTGCCTCTGCTGTTGATGGGTTTGGGTTTGGGCTGATGACAGACCTATGTTTGAGCTAAACCAGTTTCTGCTGTGGCTGTGAAGTTGGAATGGCTTAGCCTTGAAACAGAGACATTCTCACTTTAACAAACATCAAAGAATCCATGAGACTAGGCTCATGAAATCGCCTTCCAAATGAATGTAATATTCAAGTCTGACATGACCAGTGGAAGATAATGGGAGTCTCTGACAGGCCCAAGGTCTGAGTGGAGAACTCACAATGGGTCCTGACACATGGATAAAAGTACATAAATCCAACTAGTCCATTCTTGTCTCCATCTTAAGAGAACAGATTTAGACTCCTGTGAAAGTCCAGTTTATTGAGAAGGGCTCAGAACTTCTGGAAATGCTTAAGTGTTTGCTTTTAACAGTTCTGTGTATTGTTGACTTGTAACTGAGAGTCTAAAATGTCATGTTGAAGGAACCACCATGTTAGAATATGTTCAGAAGCCATGAGAGGTGTGAATGGTCTTAATCATGGACTGGACTATCTCCCCAGAATGTCCCCCAAAATTGGATTGTTATTCTTAAAATATATTGAGAATCAATCCTTGACCATTTGCCATTGTCAAGGACTAAGAAGCCTAAGCTGGCTAGCAAATTTGCCCACTTAATCCAAATCTGCAGCAGAGCACACAGACATACATGGCCCACCAGCAACCCACCAGGAAAGAACAAAAACTCCTAGATCAGAGATCACCCACCTCCCTGGCTGTGTTGACAGCCTTTCTTGCTTAGAACATCTTCTATAGAATCTGCAAACACAAGATGGACATTCTGCAGCAAGCCCTGGAGGGAGACAGAGAACAAAATTTTAGCTAAACCATGAGCTTCATGGAGACTGATGACACTTTATAGATGCAGAATAGAAGATTCCAATAGCATGGAGTTGTCTCTGCTTTATCCATTAGGTCTGAAGTTTCTTCGTATCAGTTCCCCTATTCCTGCTACTTTGGAAATGTTACCCCCCCCACACACACACACACACATGCACTTGCACACATGCATGCAAAGATAGCATAAAATTCTAACTAGGAGTAAATTAATCTTAGAGAAGAATGAGGGAGGCCTAGGGATAGGAGAATTTTGTTCCCTATATGTTCCCAGGTGGACATGCTGGCTATTTCCTCACATGGAACTGGAAGGCCATGTCCTTGTTTGTAATTCAAGTCTCAGAAACATCTATTGGTTCAGATAAGGTAGCCCTGGGTCACACCAGGAGGAAAGAGCCATTGATGTAACATGAATGGGCCAGTCAGACAGTCAGGGCAGCATCTCCAAAGTGTGGGAATCTAGGCCTTTTACCCAAATAACTAAGCTTTGACATACATTCACTTCCACAAATAAGTTCATGCCTGCCTCCAAGAGAGCAATATTCAAATGTCCCTTAACCTGTCGTGAGAGAGGAATGGATATACTCATCAGAAGATAAAACACCATAAGTTGAAAATGCATTTAACACACTTTACCTACAGGATACACCATTGGTTGCCTTTGCCCAGCATTGAGAGGGAGGACCAGAGTGCAATATTGACGGACCACTGAGAGTCAAAACACAGAGCCTCAGTATGATTCCACTGTCAGGAGAAAGATGAATAAACCCCAGGAAAGCCATTGTAATAAGGGGCATTGCAGATTCTAAACCAAACGTCTTTAGCCACAATGAGGGGTCAGGGAGGCACTCACTCACAAAGCAGCAACTTTTCCTTGAGGAACTCAGTTCCTCTTTAGTGCCCCAGTCCCTTCATTCCCAGAGCAAAGGCTAGGATGTGGCTTCAGTCTAATAAAGTAACCTGGGGTTCCTGGGATCATGAAAGTTCCTACCTCAGCCGTTGACTTGGGCATCCACATGCAGCATACCTGTGACACAGCTCTGCCTCTCATAGCTTAGGAATGTGTTTTCTATGCACACTGAGTTGATCATGTCTTATGAATATGCACTGTTGTTAGTATGTGCACGGGTGCCATGTGGGCAGAGGTGTGATGCACATGTGTGTACACAACTTCTTATGTGTCCTTTGTGTATGTATGTATGCATGCACATATGTATATAATTCCGTATGCCCGAATTGTATTTGTGAGTGCAAGTGTGAGTGTCTGTTGTGTGCACACGTGTGTACATGTGCATATGTGTGAGGGTGTGTGGGCATGGTGTGCATGCTTCTGCCTGCTGGTGCAGTGAGCGTGAATGTGTGGTGTGTTCACGTGTTGTGTGAGCAACTGTGCTATACAAGTGAGCACGAGTTTGCATATCATGTAAGTTTAGGTGCCACACAAGTGAGCATGTGTGATGTGTACGAATGTATATGAGGTATGTGCAGGTGTGTAGTGTGTGCACACGTGTGCCACACTAAGTGCTACTACACCTTTCCTCAAGGCAAGATTAACCCTTTCCAACACAAAAGCTACACTGAGTTGCCCCATGTTGTGAGCCCTCAGCAAAGCTCTATCATGTGCCTGCTATGCTGCACACTCACCCTGAAGTGGCTCTCTCGGGATGCACCTTTGGCCACGTACATCCTGCTTCTGTCTGCTTCCAGCTGCTCATAGAATGGTTCTTCCAGGGTGACACTGTCAATGAGATCGCAGCCCACGTACAGGCTATAGGTGTCGCTAGCCACCTGCACAGTTACATTCCTCCACTGGGAGTCAGCCAGACCCACATCCTCCAGGTAGTTGGTATGCTGGGTGCCTTCTACCCAGTAGTTGAGGTCCAAGGTATCCCCTGGGCCATTGGACACAATCTCAAACTGCCTCTGGGAGGTGCCAGGGCCTTCCAACACCAGGAGTGTGCCTCGAGACTTGCGGTCCTGCTTCAGCTGGGCTGTGAGGAAGAAGCCCTCCTTTCTCCTTGCAAGCTTCACAATCCTGCTGAGGTCGTCTGTCTTCACTGGGGGGATGTAGTCAAAGCGTACAAAACGGTAAGCGGGAACCCCAGGGTCAGGCCCTCGAAACTGCTTGGCACCGATGGTCTTCCGGTTTATGTTGCTGATGCTGAAAAGGTCAAATGAAGTGTCTTCACCCTGGTCACCAGCTGCCAAAGGGAACCACAGAGTGACAGTTACCCATAGGCTGAAGGTAAGGCTTTCCAAAACACAGGCTGGAGAATCACAAGCCCGCAAGTGACAAAGATGCAGAGTTTATCTTGCATCTCCGTCTCCCACCCTGGCTGAGCCATAGCAGGCTCCTTGCAATGCTAAAGGCTGGCTTTCTCCAGGGCTACAGTACAGAAAGGTTTCTGTGCCTTCTTCCATAAACGCCAGCACTGTGACACCTGCCCAAATCTCACTGCAGACTAGGCCTCTGAATTCCAACCCCTGGTCCCTGTTGTTCTTTGTCCCAGATTTGGGTTGAGCACAGCCAGCCCTCCATCATGTGACTGGGGAAGAGGAGAACTGAAAAAAAAAAAGTAGACCTTTGAATTTGAATTCTGACTGTGGGATTTGAGGGCCCCCTAAATCCTATGTTGCTTTCTTAGGATGGGATGATATTCTCACTTAAACAGATGGTATAGGCATCTTTTCACTTCTACAGAAATACCTTCAATGGATACCTTCAATGGACTAGTGTGCCCTATGGGTCAGGATCTGAGACAACAATGGACCTCATGACTATCAGTGAGTGGTCTGAAGTCACTGTCTAGCTGCCAATGACAAAAGTCACCAGATCTCATCAAAATTAGAACAGGCTCAATAATCTGAAAGAATACACTGACTAGAAAGTGAAAACAAAGCATAGCTTCTCATCAGGTGCCCAGAAACTAAAAACAAAATTAACTACTGCTTACAGAAGCACAGATATTATCATTTTTAATAAAGATATTGGTGGTAACACAATTAAAATAATTAGAATCTGTGACTTTTGCTACTAAAAATGGAAGCCCATGTGTGAAGCAAGTACTTCACTACTAGTTTGATGGAGGATGTTCTTCTGTATATATGTTTCTTTTATTGGTTGATGAATAAAACACTGTTTGGCCAATAGCCAGCAGAGGCAGGAAGATAGGTGGGGCTAGGAGACGAGGAGAATTCTGGGAAAGGTAGGCAGAGAGGCACTGGAGGAGATGCCATGTAGGCTGCCAAAAGAATAACAGGTCTGGGCATTCTCCTGTAAGCCAAGACCACGTGGAAATAATAGATTTATAGGAATGGGTTAATAATTAAGACAGAGCTAGCCAATAAGAAGCTCCAGCCATCAGCAAACAATTTAATAATTGATATAAGTCTTTGTGTACCTATTTGGGGCAAGGCAGTTGAAGGACGGGGCTGGAAAGAACCTCCAGTAACACTAATTGCAGTGCACTTGTGTCTATTCCTAACGTCTCCAAAAAACAATCTCTTCACACTATACAGACTCAAAAGCCAATGGGTTTTTTTTATTTATAAGCATATTAAGAAAGTTTCCCATGCGAGATGTAGAGGACAAGATGCTTTCTGGTCTCCTGCCTGCAGCTAAGCCACACTGCAAACACAGACAAGGGTTATGTCCATACTCACCATAAGCTCTTGGACCCAAGCCCAGAGCCAGCAGGGCCAGTGCCCAAAGCATCCTGTCTCCACCCGTGACAATCAAGAGAACCAGTCTCGTGGGTGATGAGCACACAGCTGCAGCCTGAGTGTCACTGGGAAGTTTGCTCACACGTGACCTTTGAGGGGAAAAAATAACAAAACAGTTTTTGCACAAAAATCAGAAGCAAATGTATCCATGGGAAGCAAAACTCTAGACAAGAAACTTCCTTTCCAACTAGGTTCTTCTAATTGCTTCAAGCATTTATTTCACTACTTCTCCATGACACAGAGATGAGGGTGTTCTAAACACTCTTGCTGTGAGGTCACCATAACAACTTGGGGTTCCTGTGACTGAGACCATGGCCCCTGCTCTTCGGAGGAGCAAATGGGAGGGTTGTGCCAGAGCATTGTTTCCCGGAGGAACTCTGCTATAGACCAGTTGCCAAGACTTAAGTCCAGGAGAGCTGGACCCCGACAAATATCCTGTGGGGTGAAAAGAATCTGGACAGGCATTCTATGTATATGTCCAGGGAAAACCAGTGGTGCATACCTTAAACACAATACTAATTGCAGTTCAAAGTTAGGAATGAACACAACGCATCTTCTTAGGACAAGCAGAAGCTTTTACTCAGTGAGGATTTCACCCCACTTTCCTGGTCTCCTGCAAGCCTGTTTTTCCGTTCTCAGGGATTCTAAGTTGGCTCACTGGACTCTGGATCAGAAGTCAGGAGGCCTGGCTTGAAGCCCAGCTACTCTGCTCCTGCTCTGTTAGTTAACTCCTTGTGAGCATCCTTGTGCCCGGGTCTCAGCTCCCCATCCTTCAGAGAGGAAGGAGTCTGGAGCAGGCTCTCTTCTATGTCTTACCCTGCAATGTGTAAATTGACCCACACACTATAGTCCCTCATCTCTGTTAGATGGCTAAAATGGCTTAGCTTCTCATTGACAAGGTACCTAACCAGTCCCCCTCTCCGGAGCACTTAGGCAAGCTAGAAGCAGTTTCCTCTCTAGGGAAAGGCAATCAGGGAAGACCCTCAGTTTTCTAGTCTGGTCCAGATTCCCACAGCACTGCCTGGTGCTCATCTACTGGGTCATGTTGCAGGATAAAGCCAAGAACAGCATCCCACCTAGGCCCATAACACCAGCTTGTCCACCCATGCAATCCTTTTATCTTCTGACTCAGTTCATTATCTGTGGCTCAAAACAAAACATTACTCTTAAAACATCTGCCTAGCTGAGTTAGAGAGAGGCCCTAATGTAAATGAATGAGGCACTGCAAATAGGCCTGCAGTGGGACTGGGGCTTGGAGGACTCTTAACACTATGTCCCAAGGTATCGTTTTTTCTGAAAATTAAATAGCAAGACAGACCTTGTCAGGTGCTTAGAACAGAACTCAGACTACTGAGAAAGTGGAGAATCTCAATTTAGTCCACATCTGAAGGCTGCAGCCTGCCCTGTCCTTGAATCCCTAATCCTATGTGTGCTACAGGACACCTGCCCTAAACCCTCATCCCCACATTTCACCTTAAACTAAGGATAGTTGTAAGATGCTAGCTCCGCCAAGGCGAGCTTCATCTCAAAACGATATTCTGCAAGCAGAGTACACGGAACCGTGTTTCAGTGAAAACCAACCAGGAGTGCCACAAACCATTAGCAGTGTTTTCTACAATCACATCTCATCTTGATGCCTACCCCAAACCAGAACAAAGGAGTGAAGAGAATCTGGTACTGAGCAAGCCTCCCAGCAGCCAGTGTAATCGCATCCCAGCTCCTTGAGCACCAGGCACGTGCACACACTACTCCCCTGAGCCGGAGCCTCTTCCCTGACCACAAGTTCACACCGAAGGCTTATGGGTAGATGTTCAAGAAGGTTTTTCCTCAACAGGGTACTATCACAACTTATATGGGTCTTGCACAAGCTCATCTCACAGGAACAACCAAAGTGAAAGTGCCTTTGCTGGGTGGTCTCTTTGCCCCTTCAACACCTATTGCTCTGTCTTCCTCCCCTCCCTCCTCCCACCCCACTAGAATACTCTTTCAGCTGCTGCAGCATACCAGCTGCAACCCAAACCCACTCCCTTCAGCGCCCCAGCCCACCCCGATGTACATTATAATGACAGCAACACTTTGTTCAGCTGCTAATAATGTTTAGAATTTGGATCACTGTAATCCCTCTGATTATTTTCACATTTTCAAGGGATCCTTCAACATTCCTTTCTCTGCTTCCTCTTCCATAACAAATTTCAGTGTAGAAACGTCTTATTTTGAAGTAGAAGATGTCAGTGCTTTTCCCTTAGCAGCCTAGGAATAAAGCTTGTCAGACGCTCCCCTCACTGGGATCCTGCTGTGGGAGACCCTGTGGCCAAGACAAGAGCAACTGTTCCTGGCAGGTCTCTAACTGTGCAAGGAAAACTTGGGGTGAGAGAGCCACTCTGCTAAGTGTAGGAGGGCACAGCTGTACTTTTCCCCTCCAGCCTCCTGCAAACCACAAGCCTATTCTGAAAAAATCAAGCCCAATGAAATGTCTTAGAAATAAAAAGGTACCTTGTGTATTTGAAAATGAATGATGACCGACGTCAGTATTCTAAGTCTGTCCTGAGGAGTGACCTGGCCAGGGAGGCTGCAGACAGCGGAGGATTTCGCTGCCTCCAGGCAGTGACCAGCTCCTTTATACGCCCTTTCCCCAAGAGGCCTGTCAATCAGACACACGCGGAGGCACGTTTAATTCATTCTTTCGAAGGAGTGTCATGATTCCTCCTCTGCTCTCACCATTTGCTCAGAGTACCTGGTGTCCCAGTCCAAATCCAGCCCCTCAGAGCTGACGCCCCTCCTACATGTCCACCCAGACTTTCCAGACAGGGGCCAGGGGTGGAGTCAGACAAGAGGGGCAGGCGCGGACTCACTTTTCCTGTCTTCTCTCAGGAAATAAAATGCTATAAATAAAACCAGCGAGATTGGCTGGGACTCCCCATTTTGCTGAGGAGGGAAAAAAAGCCAATTCTATGTTTAAATGTGTTTCAAATTACCCAGTGTGATACTGGCCTTTCCAAACCAAGTGAGTGACAACCAAAAAGACAGGGGAGAGACAGCACGTTCATCACTGTGCTGAGAAGTTACTCTATTCAAAGAACTGATTTTGTCATATGCAAAAAGAAATTACTGTAAAAGAGAGCCCACACATTTTATCTCCCAGAGCTTTGCTTAGGGAGAACAGATTTTAATCTAAACTCATTTCCTCTGTTCAGTCAGGGCCCTGAAACCCTATGTGACCAAGTCTTTCTGAGAGAACTTAGTCCTCAGCCAAGTCTTATTGGGATGGCTAGCTTTCCCAAGAGTGGGAATCCTGTAGTCAGAAACAGTCTTCACAGTTAATAAGACAGGGTGGGGCAGATCAGGGACAGGAGCTGATGCTCCCCCCATACCCTGTAATTTATACCAACCAAGCCAGATGGGATGAATCATAAATACAGGAAGAGGAAGAGGAAGGAAGGCCATTACCTGGGTGGGTGATAGCTAGATTGAAGGTGGAGTTTAAATGAGCACCAGACCCAAGATAAATGATAAATAGGTGTTTATTAGGGAAGGACTTCCACAGATAAGAGTAAATAACCACCAAGGCCTTCCTGCTCCTGAAGATGCAGTCTCTGCTCTTTGGATGCTCTTTGAGACCCAAGAAAGCAGGAACCAGCCCCTCTTCTAGCTTATAATGGGTCATGTCTACACCTGAAACCATGCCCAAAAGGTGTGGACAACACTACAAGTTCACTGGCAAGGCAAGATGCCACTACACTAGATGGGAGGAGGGTCGTCACCCAAGGAAGACAGTCAAAACATAGGAGATGGGGGCAGTGATGCCACCAGAGCCCAACACAGATGGCAGATCTGTGGTATCTCCCACAACCCTTGCTTGGGCTTCATCCTATGCAGATGGCAAAGTTTTCTAGACATTGCTCTGAGTTGACACATGATGATAACTAAGTCAGCGCTCATTCACAGAACAGGAAAGAGAAATGAAATGGAGAAAATGCTTAGCCACTTTCTGATCTTGGTCGGAGACTTCACTGAAGTATCCTGGCACTCACTGTGCTGGGTCTACTTAGCTTGGGACCAAAGTGGGCAGAGAGTCAGCAGATACCACCACAGGAGAAAACCCTGCTGGGTGAGGGGAGATGTATAAGATAGTGAGAGGAGGCTGCAATTGCAGAAGTATTTGTTTCTTATGAAGACTCTTCTTTTATTACTCCCTAAGAAATATTGGTTTCTACCCAGGTGGTGGTAGCACACGCCTTTGATCCTAGCAATTGGGAGGCAGAGGCAGGTGGATCTCTGTGAATTTGAGGCTGGCCTGGTCTACAGAGTGAGATCCGGGACAACCAAGGCTACACAGAGAAACCCTGTCTTGAAAAACAAACAAAAAAGAAGAAAAAGAAGAGGAAGAAGGGCAAGAAGAAGAAGAAGAAGAAGAAGAAGAAGAAGAAGAAGAAGAACAACAACAACAACCACAACAACAACAACAACAACAACAACAACAACAACAACAACAACAACAACAACAACAGCAACAAGAGGAAGGAGGAGAAGGAGGAGGAGAAGGAGGAGGAGAAGGAGGAGGAGGAGGAGGAGGAGGAGGCGGAGGAGGAGGAGGAGAAGGAGAAGGAGACGAAGACGAAGAAGAAGAAGAAGAAGAAGAAGAAGAAGAAATCTCAGTTCAATTATCAGATTCTGGACCAACAACATATCTCAGGAATAAAGCACTTGCTATGAACCTCACAACCTACAATGGATCCTTTGAACCTACACGGTGGAAGAAGAAAACTGACTCCCATAAGTTGTCCTCTGACTTCTACTCATTTGCTGTGATACACATGCACACACTCCTGAGCACATACACATCTGAAAATATACACATCAATTAATCAAATATGATAAAAATTTAAAAATAAATATGTCTCTGGCTCACAGATAGGAAAGATTAGCCTGTGATAATACACATGTTTTCCTTCTTTGAAGGAAGATGCATTGCTTTGAGTCACTTAGCTGATGACCAAAGTCTTAATTTTAACTAACATAATTAGATTCAAATTTACATTTGGATCTAAAGCTGAAGGGAAAATGTCACCAGGCTCCCTGAAAGGGT